GACTATACAAGGCACCCCTCTTGACACCTTCCAAAATCACCTTAGAACCCTTGTAGACAGATAACACCCCACCTTCACCTTTGAAGCTGAAACCCTTGCTGACTAGTAGACTCAAAGATATCAGCTTCTTAGTCATCTCTGGAATATGTCTAACATTGTTCAAGGTTCTAACAGAACCATCATGTGTCCTCATTAGGGGTGGTAATCGGTCGGTATCCGGTATACCGGATACCGAATAGCCGGTATTCGGTATACCGGCAATTGAAATTCTGCCACCGAATACCGATACCGAAAATTATCCGGTATACCGGATACCGGATAGTCGATTACCAGTATTTTAATCGGTATACCGAATACCAGATAGCCACAAAGTAATCACCCATAATCCCTAGTAATCACCCATAATCCCTCTCCACTTTTAGTTGGCCATAAAACCCCACAACCCCAAAGCGACAGCCACAAAGTATAAGCAGGAAAAGAAAAGGTGAGGGTGCCATCTTCCTCCCCATCGCCAAGAAGCAGCAGCCGGCGACCTTCCACCCCTCACGGCCTCATCCTCTCGCGGTCGAGAGCGAGCAGCAGCAGCCGACAGGACGGAGCAACAGCTCGGCACCATAACCATCATCGACCGCCATTTCCATCTCCCAGCGACCCAAACCAAAAATAGCAGCAGCGGAAGCCTCAACAAAGTCAGCGGCAGCAGCTCCCTCAATTAAACAAACAACACCAAATTCCTAGATCAAATCCCAAAATAAACACTTTTATATATGTTATTCGGTATTCTGGTATACCGGATTGCCGTCGGTATATTACCGGGTATTATTCGGTATACCGTTATGCCAAATAACACCATCGAATACCGATACCGTCGGTATTCGGTATACCGGATACCGTCGATATCCGGTACGGTATCCGGTAATACCGAATACCGGTTTACCGATTACCACCCCTAGTCCTCATCCTGATGGAGTCTCTTCCAACAATCTTACAGATAGCACCATTGGCCATAGAAACATGTCCTCCATATATCTGCTCATATGTTCAAAAACACTCTCTGCTTGGACACATATGATAATCAGCTGCAGTATCTAAATACCACACACCCTGATGATGTACCTGTTCATTCACTGCTAAGGCTAAACCATCTTCAGAATCAGAGTTGGTTTATTCCGCCACAGCAATGGATGATTCCTTCTTCTCCTTACAATCAAATTTCCAATGTCCTTTCTCCTTACAGTAATGACAGATATCATCTTTCAAACAAGCAGAATTTGAATTTGTATTTGCCTTCCTATTACCAGATTGTTGTCTCCTACTACTCGTAGCAGCCAACCCAGATGCCTGATTTTCTGAACCTGAACCAGATGCCTTATGTCGAACCTCTCTAGTATGTAGAGCACATCTGACATCTTCCAAAGACAAACTTTCTTTCCCAGCAATAAAAGAATCCACAAAATTCTCATGCGACTGTGGCAAAGATACTAACAGAATTAAGGTAGCATCCTCATCATCTACTTTAACATCAATATTCCGCAGATCTAACAAGATAGTATTGAGTTGATCTAGATGATTCCTGAGAGACGTACCTTCCTCCATACGCAAACTGAACAAACGTTGCTTCATATGCAACTTGTTAGTTAAAGACTTTATCATGTATAGACTTTCAAGCTTCAACCACAAGTCCGCATCAGTCTTCTCAGCAGCAACCTCAGTGATGATGTCATCAGCCAAATAAAGCAAGATTGTAGAGTGAGCTTTCTCCTCCAAAGTAATCCACTCTTCTTCATCTATGCTTTTCTTCTTCGATTTTTCAGACAACGGAGCCCACAAATCCTGTTGTTTCAACAGTGCTTGCATCTTGATTTGCCACAAACTGAAACTGTTTCTTCCGGTAAACTTTTCAATCTTCATACTGATAGCAGCCATTCTTACTATCAAACAAACTCCAACCAAACTCCACAAAGCAAAACTTCAGTCCAGCGCCAAATTCCCAAAATCGCAACCAGAGGCTCTGATACCACTTGTCAGAGAAAAAGCGTGCAATCGATAATCCAGAGCAACACAAACGAACACGAATTTAACATGGTTCACTAACACAATGTGTGCTAGCTAATCCACGGGCAGAGGAGAACAAATTTCACTAATTTGAGGAGAGTACATGTTACAAACCCAAATTCCAAACTGACAAACCAAACAAATTAACCCGACTGACCTTACTACAAACTAGGGTGATGAAGAGTATTTATAGAACTCTTCTCCTAATCCCAAACAGAAAACCAAATACCTTCTCCCAAACATACAAGGAAAAGGTCAAACAAAGCCCAAGCCCAAACACAAACCCAAACAAAATAGGCCCAAAACACAAAACAAACCCAAATCAAATTCAAGTCATATTCTAACACCCTTCATTCATGTCCTCAATACCACCCTTGTCTTGTCTTCTTTCATCTCCACAATCACCAACCTCATCATCGTGAGGACGACCAACACAGTGGCGACACTTCCTAGTACACTAGGATTGGCTTATTAATTAAATTGATCATCTTATATGTATGCTGGCAATGCTACAGATGTGATGAAATCAGAAGAGGAGAATGATTCCCTCGACACGTTTATCAGGCAAGCAATGGGGAAGGCCGAAGGAGCCTCTACTTTTCTTCCCAAATTCTAACAACAGCCTCGTACAGGGGGATCCAACTGCTTCAAGCTCTATACACACAGGTAAGCTGCCAAACCCTTTTGGACTAATGGGTATAACAGGTATCCATAAATATCCAAATGGGTACTAACTAGGAATGGCAATGGGCAGGTCCGAGGGGGGTATCTCGATTCTTATACCCGACCCGTGGCAGGTCGGGTAATTTATCATGGGGCGTGGGTCAGGGCAGGTCGACCCAATGGGTATATAATTTATGTGAAAAACATTAGAAATATTCGTTATTTTCATTAAAAGATCAAGAAAGAAACCATAACATGATGAAATGTAGTTAAATTATTGGAGAAATTGAGGTTTTCACTTATTTACAAGTTTATTATAGCTAAAATATGATATAATAAAAGGAAAATCCTAAATAATTTGACTAAGATTACCTGTAATTTAGGCAAGAACGGGTTAAGAATGAGGCTGGTCAGGGTAGATCAGGTCGATGGGAGGTACACATGCCCGCCCCGTCACGCATACGGGGCGGGTCCGACCTGCCCCAAAGCAGGTCAAACAGATCGGATAAAACGGGTCAGGTCGAAATTGTCATCCCTAACGGGTAACCCGCGGGTGTACATAGGCGTTGGGCTGTGCTTGGACTGGCACGACACATGCACGTTTCGAGCTCATTTTTTTTGTGTCATGCTTTGTACTGCCCATCAGTTCTCATGCCGTGTTAGCCCATTTGTTAATTTTGCTAGGTCCGGCCTAGGCAGGGTTCGAATCGTGTCGTGCTTGTGTTGTGCTTATATTCGTGTTTAATGAAAAGGAAGAAAATAAAAGTGGGAATGAAAAATAAGGAACAAATTGGGCGGAGAATGAAAGTTTTAACCGAGAATGTTTAATAAATGTAACAAATCAGGGGGGAAAAGAAAATTGGAAGTATAGCGGGTGTGATTTGACTTTGTTTAATACTTCGTCTATTTTTACTTATAGTACGTATATATCCTTATGATCACTTCTAACAACAGTAAATAATTTTTATTGTACTTGTATTTTTTAAAATGTGAACCTATAATCTTTTTATATTTATTTCCTATCAAATAAATATTTTTTTCATGTCATGTTCTTTCTTATACTCAATAGGGTCTCGAAAATGTTAGGTTCGGCACGACCCACTTACATATCATGTCGTGCCCATGAAGTTTAGGACCAGCACGACCCATAAATTATTTTTCCTCGGGTCGGGCTGGCCCATATATTTCGTGCTCCTGCCGTGTCGTGCTAGCCGTGCTAGCCCGTGGGAAGTCCAGCCAGATGCTCACGTACACCCACGAGTACCTAAAGTAGCGATTCTAGATCCCAAGTTCTATTAAAAAAAATCGAATATTTGAGTCACCGTAACCCTCAATAAAGAGAAGGAATATGGACATACCAAATAACCTTTTTTTTGTCAAAAGATATCATATATTAATCCAATAAAAAAGATAGTTACATCTTGGATAGCAGTCAGGCCCTGAAATCAAAGAAACGATTTACAGTCGGGTACAAAGAGAGGGCTTTTCTAGCTACCGAATGAGATACCATATTGTTCTCCCGACCTACAAACCGCACACTAAACCCGGGGTGGGCACGAAAATACTGACAAATCTCTTCCAGGACTGCCCCCAAGTGACTGTCGCTCGTGTCGGCTTGATTAATCTTGTCAATAATGACTTTCGCATCACCCTCGAACCTAACTTCGGACAAGCCACACTCTAAACACCTGATGATAGCCTCCCGAAGCACAAACAACTCCACTACCAGTGGCTCATCAATTTGCGCAAAGTCCACACCTTTAGCACGAAGGAGCATCCACCCCGGATCAAAAAGAACCATCCCACCAGCCGAGTGTGACCCCCTCCTAGAGGCCCCATCCCACATGCAAACCAGTCGAGAATCAACCACTTGGGTCCCGGGATGAACCACCGGGCAGGATATCCTCGACGGCTGGTCAACCGGCAGACCCACCCATTCCTCGTACTGCTGGTGAAATTGGCGCATTAAAGCCGAAATCCCAAACTGTTTGCCTTCAAAGACAACTCAGTTCCGCGATCGCCAGATCCGCCAAAGGATGGCCACCACAACCATAAACAGCGACGGGTTATGGACAAGGGCAAGCATCCGCTTAAGAAACAACGGAAACGTGTGCTGAGGCAAACCCTCTCCTAAATAGTCCAATCCCGAGTAGTCCCAGAGAGCCCGCGCGACCGAACAGTAAAGAAACATGTGCTCAATAGTCTCGGGACCATCCCAGCAAACCGGACACCGGGACAACACAGGAACCTTCCCATACCAAATAACCGTTACCATTGCCCATCCTAGCTTTTCTTCCTCCTTTCTTTCTTTCCGTCGATAATACCTTGCTTTCCGCCTTTCCCTACAGGAAGACAGTAAGTCAACACTTCCCCTGTAGTTTTCTCTCACTTACTCACCTCCCAAACACCCGAAGACCCTAACTTTCCCCATCCCCGAATCCCGCCAGCACCAGTTGCTGACAATGCGCGGCCCAATTCCTGTTCTCAGTGAGAGATTTCGGCTGTGGGAAGCGCGGAATCAAAGCTGAAACCCGGAGAGGAGAGAGGCATTTCTTCTATCGGGGCAGAATCGAATAATGTCGGGCCCGCCGAGATTTTGGTCGTTGAACACCCCCGAGCCGGAGAACAAGGCCCCGAAAAACCCGGCGAAGAAGCCCGGGAAGCAAGAGTCGGAGGCCAATAAGGAGAGGAAATGGAGGAAAGTGGCGGCGGTTCTGCGGCAGAAATCGATGAACGCGTCTTGCTCGTCTGAAGCTTCTTCGGATTCGGCGAGTAGCAGCAGTCGGGCATCGTCATCCTCGTCGGCGTCGGTGTGGTCCGACTCCGGCCGAATGCGGCGGAGCGGCGGCGTGATGAAGAGGAGGCAATGTGGAGTCAAAATTGACAAGGAGGAAGAGAAAAATGGTGGCGGTGGTGGAATTGCAGCATTGGAGGAGACTGACTATGGTGGGTTAGTGGGTAAAGTCGATTGCTTTGATCAGAGTAAGAAGAGGTGCCCTTGGGTTACTCCTACGTTGGTGAGCCCCTGTCAATTTTAGTATTCTTATAAACATTTCCGTTGTCTGGGACGATATCAAGAGAGAGCCGAGTTCTTGTTGACCTGGTGATTGATGGATGAAAGCACTTGAATGTAGCTTTTAGACTTTAAGGGTTTGCAAGAACTAGATCAGCATTGACCTTCAATAATTCTTGTGGGATTTGTGAAGCTTGTATGTGGAAATTGACTTGAGTTGGTAGGAATTGAAAAGCACTCAGACTTCCTATCTCTGGTTCCAGTTACTTGTTTGTGATTGGTGGAACCCGGGAAGAACTTGATATTCATGGACCTACATGAATGATCCCAACTTATTGTAAAAAAAAAAAAAGAATAATCCCAACAGCGTGGAAGGCTTCCTCTTAACCTGCATTGTTATCAGCATTGCTTTATTTGGAAATGCCGAATGTCATCTGTCATGTTGGTCAGTAATCTTGCTATGTGTGAGCTACTGCTCCATAGTGCTATGACTTATTGATATGATTCACAAACTTCCGTGAATTGTTTCTTCATATGGGAAAGCTAGTGGTTCTCTTGGCTTCTTACTTTGTTTCCTTGTCACAATTTGACGTCCTGGTCAGTACTTTGGGTTTTGCTAACTTGCTTTTTCATGCCGTGAAGAACAATGCTACACAGCTTCATGACGAAGAATGGGGAGTGCCAGTCCATGATAACAGGTACTCTCTAACTAGATGGGGATTTTGAGCTTAAACCGCTTTTTCTTTTAATGCATTCAATCTCTGATTATGCCTTTCTTAATTGCAGGAAACTTTTTGAACTACTATGTTTGTCTGGTGCCTTGGCAGAACTATCATGGCCTGCCATTCTTAGTAAGCGGCAGACAATTAGGTACTATGCTTCCTCTCCGGGAAATATAGTTGAGTTCTGTCCTGGCTAGACACCAAAGTTAACAAGTTATTCTTGTGTATGTCTTGTGTGGGTGCAGGGAAGTGTTTCTAGGTTTTGACCCAGTTTCTGTGTCGAAACTGAATGAGAGGAAGCTCATCATGGCAGGAAGCCCTGCCAGCTCCCTACTACCAGAACAGAAGCTGCGATCAATCCTTGAAAATGCAGGCCAAATTTGCAAGTATAGAACTCTCAATTGCGGCTGTTAATATGTAGCACAGGTTGTCGAAGAGTTGGGTTCATTCGACAAGTACATCTGGAATTTTGTGAACCAGAAGCCCTTAGTGAACCAATTCCGGTACACCCGCCAGGTTCCAGTGAAGACTTCAAAAGCAGAGGCGATGAGCAAATATCTTGTGAGAAGGGGATTCCGTAGTGTGGGGCCGTGGTTGTATACTCTTTCATGCAGGTATCGGGTCTAACGAATGACCATCTTGTCAGTTGCTTCCGATACCATGAATGTATATGGCGGGAGCTGAAGCAAAGGCAACAACAGCAAAAGAATATGAAGGCCAAGGCGGGAAAGGAAGAAGTTGATTAGCCATTCATTGGGTTTGCGGATAGCGAGAGTGTGGTGAACTGAGAGAGATATGGTTATGGTGGTGGTGGTGCCCTGACGGGGAGTGTATGTATTCCTTCTGTAAAAGTGGTTTATTCACCAGCTGCATAATAGAATCTGGGTGAATGCTTTGCATCTGTTAGTGTAGAATGCTGGTGCTGGAAGCTTGGGGGAGTCTCGATCGGTTAGTGTAGAAAGAATGGGAAGGGGAGACTGGAAACTATAATTCTATGTGTTTGGATTCAGTGCACCTGAAGAAGTTTCTTTCACAAAGATGATTCCTGTTATAAAGCCTAAGCTTCATGCATAACTAACTGTAAAAGATTCCTCTCACACAGTGTCACAATTGACAAGCCATTTTCCTTGTTTGCCTTGCAACTCCGTTCTTTGTTTTTTTTTTCATTTCTCAACTTTTCTAGATTGGAATAAATGCACAAGAGAAGGAGAATAATGTCTATGGTCATCAACTCGTGGAGGTGTGAGAGTATAGGCGTTCTCGACTGACTAGAATCTTCCTCCCAGGAAGAAACCAACTTTTTTGGTTCATTCACCCAATTCATTATGCTCAGGCTTTGCCAATGGCTAACTTACATTGTTGGATCGCATATGATTGGTATTCTTAATTGTTTTTGGTGATTTGTTGATATTCTTAATAACAAGTCAAAACATCCTCGGGTCGAGATTGCAGGTTGCGCGAGATCCGACAATATCAATTATCAGCTCATACTGACGTCTGCTTTTGCCATCATGGTAGCTTGACTGTGCAGAACAACATCTAAAGAAAGTGAATTTGGCTGGATTCATTAGATTGGGATTCTTTACGTGATATCCTTGCATTGAGATCCTCATATCGAGTACAATGATGTTATACTTACAATTATATTTGAATTTGACTACAGCAGTTACATGTAGATTTTTACATGGCGTTCTTGCATATTATTTTCGGGAGCCAATGATACATGCAACACAATCATATGTACAAAATTATCACTCCAATCAAGGAGTAACGATTCATCGATGTAGATACTTACAAAAAGTTCACAATTAGTTGTTTGGAATTGATGATTTGGGTGTGTTATTTGGAGCCAAATAACATATTTGAATAGAGAAAAAAATAATGCAGCATCTGACACCTGTTATTCTTCTAATATCACAAACCTGTTATTTGACAAATACCATGGGGAGGGCTGGTATTCTTCAAATAACAAGTTATTCTCTGTTTTGTTCCATTTCTGTCCTCATTCCTTTTTTTTATAAATTCCAAACTAGCCTCTCCTTATTGGTCCACATTTTTGTCTCTTCTTCCCCAATGATCACCATAGCCATTATTTGTTCCCCCTATTACCTTAATTATGTTTAACACTAACAAAAACTCAACATGTTTTGATACACTATATTCCATTAAAAGACATAAAATCCATACATATTAGTACTACATGCATTTTTGAAATGTACTTCATAATTATTTTATATCTTTTAACATAATATTATGTTAAAGCGCCATATAGAACTTCGTACATATTAATACTATAGCATATGTATGTTCACCAAGCATCACACGCACTAACAAGAGATGGGGTTAAGAAGGACAAATCGATATATTATATATTTTAGTGCAAATAACACATTAACAATACCACTACATAAAATTTACCCAAATGTGATATTTCATACAAATATCACATAACAAATAACACATATTATGGTATATGGTATTTGTGCGGTAACTGGTTTCAAATAACAAGTTGTAATGTAATAGTAATTCAATGAAGCTAATAATTAGCAGAAAATGGGACGGATGATGAGGAATATTGTGAAGTATCAACATGATGTGTTAGAGACTAATTAGCAGAGCAGCAAAAAGTCACGGTCTTCAACCAAACGTCAAATTATTATTATTGGTTTATAATACAAGCAAAGGACAATTCGGCGGCCGTGGCGGGCGGCTGCAGGTGGCGGTGTTGGACAGCGGAAACAAAGTCGGCCCAATTCAAAAGTCGGTCTTCCTTTCTCTTTCTTTCACGATCAGTGAATATATATATGGCTGGGCCTGGGCGGGAAATCACGAAGAAGGGAAAAAAAGATGCAAGTTTCCCTCGTGTTCTCGGACCGATTTCCAAAAGAGAAAAGTAAGTAAGAAACAAAGAAATCGGGATCCATGATTGCGACTTTGCTTAAAGAGAACGAAAACAGACAAAGAGAGATTGAGAAGAAGCAAAGTGCGATTAGTCCTCAGACGCAAGACCGACCGGAAAAAGTGAAGAGGTAGGGCTGTTGCTCGGAACTGTCAAAAGACTTCTTGAAGTAAAGCCCACAGACAGACAGCCCGCAACAAGGACAGGCAGCAAGAAATTGCTTTGATCATTAAGTCAAGATTGACGGTTCTTGTTATTTTATTTGACTAAATCACCTAGCTAGGGTACATCAAATGATTCCCTTTCTCCAATGCTTTTTCTCAATTACTATAACAAGGACAAAGTCGGAAAAAAAAAATTAGACAAGCTGCTTCGGTTAGGAATAACCTCGTTTCATACTCGATTTGTAACTAGCGAGTGAAGTTTGAGCTAGCTCGACTTGTATGGCTCGTGAGTCAGCTTGATTCAGTGGCTTGTTGATCTCAACTCGTGAGCTAACTGATTTTGAAGTATGAACTGGCTTGACCGTATGACTAGCGAGCCACCTCAACAAGCAACGTATGAACGAAATGATAAATAACTTATCGTTGGCTTGTAGTTCATGCGTTTGTTATTAGATTGTATATATTACCACATATGATGTTAAAGAATTTGAGCACTTGATCAAATATGTCTCATTTATAATCTAAAATTAAAATATGTATTGTATATTGCTCATATACTAATGGAAATTCCTATAATACGTTGAAGTTATTGTAACTTGATCTTTTCGACCTGTTATAGTAGGTTTCACAAGTTGTATTACGTAAAATAAAATATGTATTACGTAATATTTACGTAATGTGTGTTTATCTTACGTAATAGTTAAAAATGTTATTACGAAAATCTTACGTAATAGACGCCCTTTTTACGTAATGAATATTAATCTTCCGTTACGTAACATATTAAATCATTACAGAAAGCTTACGCAACGCTTCTAATTTAACTATTACGTAAGAAATAACTATCGTTTCGTAAGCTTTACGTAATAATTGTATAATTTATGGAACAGTTGTAAAGTGTCATTACGGAAGCCTTACTTATTTGATTGTCCTTATACGTAATGAATGATAATGAAAGTTACGTAATGTGATCAGTTATTACGGAAGTCTTACGTAACACTTCAAATTTAACTATTATGTAAGAAATAACCTTCATTTCGTAATCTTTACGTAATGAGTGTGTATTTTATATAACAGTTGTAAAATGTCATTAAGAAAGCCTTATGTAATAGGCGATCCTTTTACGTAATGAATATTAACCTAGTGTTACAGAAAATGTTAAGTCGTTGCGGAAACCTTCCGTAACACTTCTAGTTTAACTGTTATGTAAGACTAAGAAGCATTACGTAATTGTTACGTAATAAACACTACATTTACGTAATACGACCTGTAAAACCTGTTATAGCAGGTCAAAAATCTCAAGTTATAATAACTTCAAGGCATGGTAGTAGGTCCCCTATACTAATTACTATTAAATAACATGATATGAACAATTAAATATTATGAACTAAATGATATGATACATGAGTTTGAGTTGATCTTGCAAGCTAATAGATGAGCCGAACTTGAGTTCAGTTTGTGAGCTCCTTAATGAGCTGAGCTCTAGTCAAATTGGAGACAAACTATGGAGGCATACAAGCCAAGCTCAATCCAGGTCAAAACTCGACTCGACTCGACCCATTTGCAGCTCTACCTACTAGTAAGTAGTAGTAAGCAAGCAAGCTAGATTACTCTAACATCTTTGGTGAATCTCACATCGACAAAGCACGAGAGAGATCCACGGTTCATAACTAAGAAACCAACCTTAATTAACAAGACTTGCGGTGAAATGAAAGAGTTATTGTAAGAACTCTGATGGTAAACATGCTCACTATGGATCACTGCAAGGATGAGTGACCTTATGAGAAGTAACATTGATATGCACCCCAAGGCAAAATTCGTGAGGGTCTAGGCCCCAAGCGGACAATATCTTGTCAGGAAAAGTTTTAGAATGTTACAAGTGGTATAAGCAGTGGCGGAGGGAGGTATTAAGGAGAGTGGGTCCTACTTGGCAAAAAATGGAAAAATAAAATCCTTTAGAATATGGGGTTTAGTATGAACTTTCAAATTCAGCCCATACTCTCGTCGATGCTAGCTCACCTAAGGACCCCAAGGCCCAATCAACTCAAAGTTTATTAGATACACAGAATTTAGTGTTATTAAAATTTTAAAGCCCTAGTGAACCTAAAGTCTAGCTACGACACTAGGTATAAGAGTCTGGCTGAATGATGGTGGGGCAAACCTTCTTCATTGAGTCTCAGCCTCGCAGGAGGAGAGGGGTGTATGTAGCATCTTAGATGAATTCCACATCAACAAAGCATGAAAGAGATCTATGGTTCATAAGTAAGAAACCGATCTCACACGTTTTGAAGTGAAATGGAGGAGTTAGTGTAAGAATTCCAAAGTTAAACGCGCTCACTATGAAGCACTACAAGGATGGATGATTTTATTGGAAGTCATCTTGATATTCATCCAAGGCAAAATCCGTGAGGCTCTCGATTCAAAACGAACAATATCTTCGCGGAAAAATGTTCAGATGTTACAAATTTTCATTGGATAAAACACCCTTTTAGGAGAACATTTTTAAGTGATTTAGTTAATTCTCACTCTCTAGCTAGCTTTTCCGACCTCGTTAAAGAAAATAGACCCGTACTTAGACTAGCCGGACTACCATAGATATAGGTGTCAAAACATAGCCCGACCCGATTAACCCGCCCGACCAACCCGACCGCAATCCGAATTGACTAAAAGTCAACAACCCGTAACCCGCCCGACCCGCAACCCGATTGACCCGCAACCCAACTAACCCGCAACCCGACTAACCCGCAACCTGATTAACCCGAACCTGACTGACCCGCTACCCGATTAACCCGAACCCGATTGACCCGAACCCGACTAACCCGTAACCCGACCCCCTCAACCCGAATATCATCTAATCCACTTGAATAATTATAAAAATATACAATACATAGTTTTTCAAAATAAAGTTTTTCATTCTAAACTTAAGTAAAATTATTTTTTCATTTCGTATAAGAAATTTTAAAAATATGAAACTCACTTGATATTACGTATTTTAAGAAAATTAAAAAA